GAGTACTGTGTGCAGTTCTGGAGGCCTCACTTCAAAAAGGATGTGGCCAAAATCGAGAGGGTGCAGAAGAGAGCAACAAGGATGATCAGAGGTCTGGAGACTGCGCCCTACGAGGAAAGGCTAAGGGCCTTGGGAATTTTTAGTCTGGAGAAGAGGAGATTGAGGGGGAACATGATTGCTCTCTTTAAATATTTGAAATGCTGTCATTTGGAGGAGGGCAAGGAGCTGTTCCAGTTGGCAGCAGAGGATAGGACCCGAAGCAATGGGTTTAAATTACATGCAGAAAGGTATTGGCTGGATATTAGGAAAAACTTTTTCATGGTCAGAATGGTTCAAAGGTGGAATCAGCTGCCTAGGGAGGGGGTTAGTTCCCCTTCACTGACAGCTTTCAAGAAGAGGCTGGACAAATATTTGTCAGAGATGCTCTAGGCCGGTCCTGAATTGGGCAAGGGAGTTGGACTAGATCAGGGGTGTTGAACTCATTTGTTATGAGGGCTAGATCTGACATAAATGAGACCTTATTGGGCCGGGCAGTGTGTGTCATAAAATGTAATGCCAGGTAGCAGAGATATAAACTTTATAAAGGACACAAACACAAAGGGTTTTTTTAAACTTAAAACATGCTTAAAACATTAGCAGTCTTACAATATTTTATTTAACAGTGTCTGATAACTGACACCTCTTGCTCTGAATTACTGCATCAAAATGCCTGTGCTGTTGCAATCTTGAGTATGCTGTTCAGGTGTGTATCTGTAAGCTGGAAAGCTACCATGACACAGCAGCAGCAGAACTGGAAGCAGAAGCAGAAGACAGCCAGTTCCACTGCAAATCTGATAGAAGCCCTCTGGGGCCTGATCCGGCCCCCAGGACTAGATGGTGTGTATGGCCCCTTCAAACTATATGATTCTATGATTCTATTATTTATATTGGGCCAAAATGTTGCCAATATGCAGTGAACTCTGATTTTCTTCTGGCACAGTGTTTGCTATACCTAGTCATAGGCATTTTTTTATACTGATGTAAGTAATGTAAGAATTCACTTTTGGTCAGCATTGTACTGCCATTTATTTTGTTCCAGATTAGCCTTGCAAGTAAGTCCACCAAAGTCACTAGCTGAAAACATTTGTGTTAGCCCATCTTCTCACACTTGACCTATGCAACTGATTTGTAAGTGCTTTATACCCTGGTGGCTGTCGATATTCATGTCAGATGAGTAGCTGTTTGAAGCCTATTTTAGATATATTTAGCTTTTGTGCAGGTACTGTTTGTGGACCTCTTTTCTGTATTGACATGGACGATGTAAAAAAATCATACATATGTTTATAAATGTGTAATTACCAAATTTTATATTTATGCTGAAGCATTTTTTTAGATTCTAAGGCTGAAGTCCTGCAAGAAGTTGCTCATTGAGAGGCCAGTATAACATCTTCCCCACAAGGTTGCCCCTGCACTGACCACCTTATCCTACCGGGCATGTTGCCTCTCTCTGCACATCCATCATTCCAAACAGAGACCCCACTGCATCTCACCTTCCTCATAAGGTCTCCCCCATGTAGCTAGTCTCAGTAGTAGCCGGAGCAGAGCTGGGAAAAGGGGCTTTGGCAAGGTCGGACTGCTGGATGCCCTAAAGAGGGTGATGGAGTGGGTTCTACTGAGATGAAGCATGCTTGTCACAAGAGCGGCACACTGAAAGTGAAGATGCCTTGGAGGGGGAAGAGATTCTTTTGAGAGGTTGCCATACATCTTGCTCCACTTGCACTGGGAGGGCTTCAAAACCAACCATATTGGATTGACTTTTGAGCAAACTGAAAAACACTTTTAAATACATTTGTATTCTGTTTGCTTTTTCAGCCTTCTGTAAATGTGTGCGCGCTAAATTTATCCACGCAAAAATCTTTGTGGAGTTACATAAAATTCTATTATTTATATTGGGCCAAAATGTTGCCAATATGCAGTGAACTCTGATTTTCTTCTGGCACAGTGTTTGCTATACCTAGTCATAGGCATAGGCTTCTGCACTAATTCTATGTAGACAATAAATTTTTGTAAAAGACAGTGAGAGACAGTGTGAGAATACAGGTGTGCCTTAATATTGGTTTGGTATACAAAAGCAAATTTCAAGGTACTTTTAGTATCCTGCTTCTGACTATCTTTTAACAAAATAAACTAGAGGTGTTAATTACAATTCTTTGTTAACAAAATATTACATATAGGAGAATTGGATTTCCCATTTCTTCTGTCATCAGAAAATCAGTTTAGCTGAATGGTTGTTGTTAATATGTAAATAAGACAAGTTACCTTATGACACAAAATTAAGAAACTGGGGTGGCAAAAGGCAAAATAAACACTATTGAGAATTATTGTCATTATATGTGCTTAAGGCATGGCCTCAGTTGGAATCTAAATTCAGACCTTGTCACAGGGGAACATAATCCTTTGTCAGCATTGTGTAGTATTCTCCCATCCTCCTCTTCCCCTAAACAGGATAAATTTGGCAGTTGCTTGAAGAAGGAACAGCAGGACAATGCAAACATCCTGGCAGCAAACCTCAGGCTTTCTTGTGCAGCATTTGCCATGTTATTGTTGGTTCAGCAAAGTTACCTACATTGATGCTTGCTTTGAAAGGTGTTTAGAAGGAAACAAAACTTTAGGAGGAAGGAAATGAGATTGATACATGCCAACTGGCAAAGACTATACTTGGTCTTTCTATTTAAAATTAATACTCAGGCAACCTAGTTCCGTGCGCCTTGGTGTTTAGTCGTGCCGGCCACATGACCACGGAAGCGTCTTCGGACAGCACTGGCTCTTCGGCTTTGAAACGGAGATGAGCACCGCAACCCTAGAGTCGGATTCGACTGGCTCTCGAGCAAGGGAACCTTTACATTTATCTTTACCTTTAACCTAGTTTGCAGGCATGAATGATTCTGAGAACATGGAGTTTCCTCTGGGAGGGAAGCGTGTCAGGCTTGTCCTGTGATGGCACACCTAATTTGTAATCTCACTGACATAGAGGTGTGTGTTTGTGTTAAAAGGGTTTTAGTAAAACAGTGTTTTTGTTTGTTTCCTTTTAAAATGGAAATAAACTTCAAACAAAAAACAACAGCTGGATGGCTTTGTTCATAAAGGGAAGGGGAAAAAATCTGAATGAGAAGGAAAAAGAAACCTGTTGCTCTAACAAGCAAATAGTCATAACTTGGGATGAAAGTTTACATATATCATTGCTGATAGATGAATAGACCTGGATGCGCAAGGTAAATGTGTTGGCCATGTGAGCTTTACTTGGTGAAGTTAAACAGCTTGTTGTGAATCCAGTAACACCTTAGAGACCAACAAGATTTTCAGGGTATGAGCTTTTGAGAGTCAGAATACTCTGTCAAAACGAGGAGCAGAAAATTAGCATCAGATGCTAATTTTCTGCCTCAGCATTTCTCCTTTGCTCTAGAAAAGAGTAAGAGTCCAGTTGCACCTTAAAGACTATCAAACTATGTGGTAGAGTATGAGCTTTTGTGAGTCGCTGCTCACTTTCAGTGTATCTTGATCTATCTCCTTTGCTCCAATGAAGCCGACTACAATTTGCATTATACTTTCTCATCCGGAGTCCCTTCTTTGCAACTCTTATCCCATGTTCTAATTGGGATATAAAAACCTGGGGATCTCCATTCTGACTAGTATCTGACAAAGGGAGTTTAGCGCTCTGGCCTCTCCCCAGGGCCCCGAGGGCATCCTGGCTGCAGGAAACGAGGCCGGCGGAACTCCGTGTGACTGGATCCTTCTCCTCCCCCGACGGCCAGTTGGCAGGCCCGGGCAGCCGCGCGCGCCGCTCCCTTTCCTTCCCTTCCCTGTGGTGCCCGGCATCTGGGGTCGAGGTGGGCCAGGAGGCAGAGAGTGGGGCAGGCGGAGGGGTGGTGCGTCGGGGGAGGGTGGCCGGGCAGCTTGGGGCCGCTGGCGGCAGGCAAGTTGTCATCTCGCCGGGGGTCTGCCGCACTGGCTCTCCAGGGAAGGCTCTTTCCCCCTACTCCTGAGGAGACCAGCCCCGGGGGGGGGGCTCTTGAGGAGGCCAGCAGGGAGTTAGGCCAGGGCAGCCTTGTCTGCGCAGACTGGCAGCGGCTCCCCGAGTCCTTCCTGGCACCTGCTGGCTGACGGGGCAGGCCAGCTGGGACCAGAACACGCCCCATCCAGGGCCCGGGGCTCTTGGAGAATGCCTAGTTCGCCTAGCGGGTGAGCCGGCCCTGAAGGTAGCACATAAGCACAGTGTAAGATTTCCCAAAAACTAGTTGTTTCATGTTGGTACTGATTGTAAAAATCACAGGAATCTTTTGATTCCTTTCACTTGCATATGTTCGACTGGAATATGTCTAACTTTTACTAAACTCAAAGCTCCATTGTTTTTGCAACTGCTTAACTCAGTGGTTGCTGAGAGTAGGCCCTTGCTTAAGAGTCTTATGTATTGAATTTCAACAGAACTCGACTGGATTGGAAACAGTTGACAACCCCTTTTCAGTACCTTAGAGTTTAGTAAACTAAATTTCATACAGTTTTAATTGTAGGTCTCTTGACAATTATTTTAGCCCCCCCCCAAAAAAAAAGACATTCCAGTCAGAATCAGCTTTTTAAAATCCAGAATAACACATTCCATATGTTAAAAATCAGGGGTTTCCTCTTCCTCTAAGAACTGCTAGTCTTTGTGGTGAAGGAATATGTATTTTTTTAAAAAAAACACCCCGAATTTTACAGTACGTAAGGCTCAATCAAATTCAAGTTGAGGATAAGCAAAATAAAAACAAAAGTGTAATGCCTGTATAATGCAGTTTGGCTTTAAATTAGCAAAAGCCTTTAATTTGTATAAACACAAATCCATGTGTGGTTCGCTTAACTGCTGTAACTTTGTACCAGGACTATTGTCTGGTGCACAACATCCTAATTGTACACATGAGTGACCTTTATTCATAATCCTGTTTCTTGCTAAATTGTATGAAGCTGACTTTGGAATTTCTCTACAGGCTCAGAATATTCCTCATCGGGATGGTTACCTGGCACTGAATCACTGTGGCAAGCCACAACAGGCCCATCAAACAGTCGAAGTAGCCATATCAGAAGACACAGCATAGCTTCTGACAGCGGTGACACCGGCATCGGAACCTCCTGTTCTGATAGTGTGGAAGGTGAGTTTGGCTTAAAAACTGAAGACTGTTGCTTTTTATGGAAAGTGGAGAAAAAGAGTGGGTCTAAAATATTTAGGGGCAGAGTGTGATGTAAAATATGAATGATCAAACTTAGCTGCTGAATGAAGAGTCAGCTTTCCTGGTGGTGTGAGAGGTCTGTGCAGGGGTCATTTGGGGGGGGACGCGGGGGGACGCCATCCCCCCGGGTGAGTTGCGGGAGGGCGGGGCCTGGAGCTCCCTGCTGGTGCCTGCTGGAGGTCGCCGCCGGCTGTGGGGAGGACACACTTCCGGTGATGTCAAGGGGTGTGGCATATGCTAATGAGTTATGCTAATGAGTCCCCCTAGCTCTTTTTCTACGAAATGACCCCTGGGTCTGTGCCATCCTAAGAGTTACAGCCTTTGAAGCCCATTGACTCCAGTGGATTTAGAAGTGTAATTCAGTTTAGGATTGCATTGGGAATCTCTCAGAGTTGAAACTGAATTTTTGTTGAGTAATCCTTAGTTATTATGAGGGAAGACAATTATACATTTGAATACTCTGGGGCTCCGAAGTATAAATGATCATGAGATGCTGAACTTCACGATTGCTTGTTGCTTCTTTCCATTTCATAGTATCGTACAAAAATCATTAAAATTATATTGGGGGGGATGTAAAATTGATAGCAACAGTTTGCTCTACAGGTTTTGCAAAATACTGCTTGAGAACCAGAAGGGGAAGGCATTGTTTTTCCAAGTGTCCTGTACATTCTTATCTAATGAATTGTCCCAGTGTAATGCTGTGCCCTCACTTTTCATAAAAATCTCTTGCTATCACTCTTAAATATTACTGATCTTCTTCGTGGTCTCTGTGAATCACACCCTTGGGAATATACTGCGCCTGCGCTGACCTTCTCGGTACCGGTAGCTAACAAAAAGGGATTTTTGCGCCTCTCCCAGGTCACGCAATTGTCCCAGTGTAATGCTGTGCCCTCACTTTTCATAAAAATCTCTTGCTATCACTCTTAAATATTACTGTTACCAGCCTTCAAAGAACTTTAAACAGGCTATTGAGCTGCTGAGAAAATGGTCATCAGAGGTCAAATATAACAGAAAAATTAAGTTGTTAAAAACAAAATACAAGGAAATACCTTGTGAAGCTGCATTAACAGTGTGGTCATAGGCAGAACATAAGATATCATCATTCCTACCCTGGTCAGTTTTCTTCTGAATTCTTGTCTTATTTGGTCATAATGTTTCAAAGATATGCAAACAAACAGGAGGGGAACTTGAAGAGAAGAATTGATTTAGAATATATGATGTACAGGGGAAAACTTAAAGAAATTGGTATATTTAAGTTAGAAAGAGTAACTTGAAGGAAGGGGGGGGGGACCAAGGTAAGCATTCTAAAATAAAGAGAGAGAGAAGGATGAGTTCTATAAGGTCATTGAAAGAAAATGAGAAATGAAATATCAAGGTTTGAGTTTGATACAGGGAAACCATTTGCAATTGTAAAAGTGGTTTTATAATAGAACCTTGTGCTGCTTTCTTGCTTGAATGTTTTTAAAGAGAAAACCAATGGAATATCTGTATAAAAGGATATATCTGTTCTTCACTGAGTGTGATTCATTATTGCACCTGGCTGCAGGGGTCAGCTGGCGGTTCGATTATTTCATCACTGATTCAGGACCTCTAATCACATGGGCTGGATTCTGAACTTGCAGAATAGAATTTTTCCACCTTTCCCCTTCCGGCTGAGGAATGCTGTGATCCCTGAAATCCTAGGATTGGTGGACCTTGGGAACAGTGTGGGGACCTGCAGGGAGTCTTGTAGGAAAGGGGCATGCAAGTATCAATCTTATGTGGGCAGAACTGCTGCTTGGGAGAATAGAATAAGGCATCAGATTGAACACTTAGAAGTGTAGTTGGGTATGTATACTAAAAGAGAAAATATAGCTGTGCTGCCTCAGCTAAAGTGATTTCTTCCACTTTTAGACTAACAGTGAACAGGAAATGTTTGGGCATATAATTTATTTTAAAGGGAATTGTCGCAAGCCACTTGAATATATGTATAAAGTTGTAAACAGGTATCTGTTTCCAAGTATAGAATATCGTGTGACAGGTGGCCATTAGCTATGCTAGTTGCTGCATCATGAGAGAACTAAAACATTTTGTTCATTTCATCATGCCCTGACTGGTGAGCTAAACAAGTGATAAAGTGATCAGATGACCAGTTCCAGTTCAGATTCATTTCATCATGTTCCTTCAAGACAAGATGCACTGCACATGTCTTGAATTAGCTGAAGGTCTGGAACACAACGTGTTTCTAGTTTAGAATCTTGTTTGACGTGCTCTTTTGTGTGTCCTGTTTATACTTCCAGTGAGAGTGAAATCACTTCTACTGGTGGCACTTATCTACATTGTTCTCTTGTTGTTACTCTAAATTGTTTTGCTGTTTTCTGATTGACATTCTTGCATACAGTTAGTTTTCAAGGGGAAAAGGGAAATATTTGGAGGCAAAAACGGGAACTTTACTCTGAATTTGATTCGTTTGTGGTCAGCACTGGCCCTGTCCACACGAGAGGATTAGGGCCGGGAGAGGGACGGAACGGGTGCGGATCAAACGGGCGCGATCCCACCGCAACATCTGGGAAGCGTACTGTGTCCGTCCCCGATCCGGCCCTTCCAGCGATAATCCGTACCAAAAAAGAACCACCTACCAAGGTGGTTCTTTTTGAATGGCCGCAGCAACGCTGGCCGTGGGATCGCCGGCGCGTTCTTTCGCCGGCGCATCCCCGGCTCCTTGCCGAACTGCGCATGCTCCGACATGCGCAGTTCAGCAGACTCCCGTGCCTTTCTCCCCGGCATCTGATTGTGCTGGGGAGCAAATGCACAGCGGCTCAGGGGATCTGTATGATCCCGCCACCGCGTGCCTATTTAGGTGCAGCTTTTTAAAAGCCGCACTTTGGCCGTCCCTTCTTCCCTCGTGTGGCAGGGGCCACTGAATAGGCTTTGTGTCAGCCTCTTTTTGAGGAAATATTAGCATGCAGTGTATTTTATGATGTAATATAGGTAAGCTTCCAGGAAGACTCTTTTTCAAGCCTGGTACTTAGCCATGTGCTCTCCATTGCAGTGCTGAGAAGGCAGGACATCTTTGGCAGAAAACACAATTGAATAACCTGGCAAATCATGACAGTTGCAAAGCTGTAAGGAAAGGAAATAGCATTGTCTGAGCATTTGAAAGTATGAAAGGTTAAAATAACCTCAGTTTTTTTCTTTTTTGTCGCTTTTTAAATTTAATTATGGCCCCGGTCACACGGAGAATTTGCCGCACGAAAGGCAAGAATGTTGGGCGGATTTTCAGGGCGCAATCACACCGCAACATCTGAGAACCATAGCGCACCCGTGGCCAACCTGTGGAGTCCTGCCGAAGATGCGGATTTAAAAAGTACCAAGGAAGTGCACTAGTATCCGGAAAACGCGCGGCACAGGCAGGTGTCTGATTGCGGGAGCGCTAGTATCCCGTGGCATCTGGCGCCTGGCCACGTCCCGTCGCAAACCGGATGTTTTTCTTACGCGCATGCACACAAACACGAAACTGAAAGCAGTGCTGCTCCGCGGAACTGTGCATGTGCACAAACATGAAACACTTGTGTGATTACGCCACTTCTTTGCCACGCTGCAGCATCGCTGTGTGATCGCCAACTAACAGCTGAAGCACGGAGACTCGGGGGACTGTGTGATTAGGCTACTGCGCTTTATTTTGCTCTGGGGCAAACAGCCACGCCTCTCCCCCACATTATCTGGCCTGTGTGACCGGGGCCTATATTTAGTTACATAATTTAATTATGTATTGTTTTTGTCTCATAGGGTATCTTTACGCAGTTAACTTTTCTTCCATCTAGCAAAGTGCTATATGCCCAGTTTACCTTAATGTATCAAGAAGGATAAGCTATTCTAAGAAATATTCTTGTATAATGGGAGATTTAGTTTGCTAAGAATTTTCACACTCTTTTTCTCTCTCTTCCCAACAGTAAAAGGGTTATGATGTTTGCAGTTTGAGGGCAATGAGTACATATATTTGTCAAGATTTTCATTGTTGGTAGATGTCCCGCCGCGGGTTCTTCCGCGGCCGTATCAGGTGATGCGGCGGGACTGGCGCGTCCTGCGCCGAGCTCTTTGCCAGCCCCAAGCATGGAACGGAGCCTTGGGAACAGCCTTGGGGAAGGGGGCGCCTGTGTTCCAAAGCCACAGTGAGACGGGGGGGGGGCGAGCTCGGGTGAGGGACTGAGGGGCCTTACCTTTCAGGCAGGGTGTTACCGAGGTCGCTACTGCGGAGGCGGGGGGGAGGCAGACACTTCCGCTATACACCCCGAGCCTCGGAAAGTTGAAGGGAACGGGGACTATGCTCAGATCAGGAAGGAAAACACGTGAAGCAGGGAAGGTGATTGGGCTATAGGCTTTTGGGGAATCACAGGGTGTGTTTGATTACTGTAACAAGCAATAAAAAGGAGGAAACAAAAAACACCGGGGAGGAAGTCAGAGAATCGAGGGAAGCGCAGAGAGAGAGAGAGCGAGACGCTGGGAGTCGGTTCTTCTGAGGACAAGGTCTGGCGTGTGGTGTAACACCCAGCCCATCCAATTCTGAGGTGTTTGTTTCTGACTCTGAAAGACTCCCGTCATGGCGACGGGTTATACAGCGCCAGGGAGTGACCCGAATCCTGACAGTAAAAATTGGTGCAATCATTTGGAGAATTTCCTCATTCTCCCTCTGAGGTGGAGGACATTTTTCTCCCTCTCCCCAAATACTAGAACTCAGGGGCATCCAATGGAGCTGATGAACAGTAGGTTCTGGACAGACAAAAGGAATGATTACTTTACACAGAGAGTGATTAAAATGTGGAATTCGCTGCCAGAGGGTGTAGTGATGGCCACAGGAATAAATAGCTTTAAAAAGGGATTAGATAGATTCATGCAGGATGACTCTATCAGTGGCTACTAGACATGGTAACTGAGGGGACCTG